TCAGGCCACTTGTCTTTCGAGACAAGTGTGGTACAAACTATTTGGCTCCGGAGGGATGGAAGGCCTGGTTGGCCTAGGGAGCCTACGACCCACGATTTGATCCTCGGACCGCGCAGCTTTAAGCAGCTCTACTTGCCACTACACCATTTCCGACCTCGGCTATAATATGATGGCTGAAATACACAATCAAATATGCTTACAATCATGGATAGAGATCAAATATGTGGCGTATCTTCGAGGAACTGATCAATACTCAGCGTGGCATCATTTCAGCCTCCTGATAACAATAAATTTCAGGGATGTGGAGGTAATGGAAATGCTTTCATGACCCGTGACGAGTGCACGACTAAATGCTCAGGTGTGAAAGGAACGACCGCCGTTGAAGGTATCGCATCACTTTCAACACTTTTATGTCTGCTTTCCCCTCATGAATCACCTGAAGCGGTAGTAGAACTGCTGAAAAGGTTAGCGATCCTGCCACCACAGCACGGGAACTCTGCATAGACAGAATAGGGCGCTGTAGGGTATAGAGGTTACCACAGGTAGGTGATCTCTGAGCTCGCCTTAGCTAGTAAAAAATGATTAGGTAGAACGTTCGTTGATGAGCTTCCAGAAGCTCATCTCTTTGGTTTTTGTTTGTTAACTGCTGTTTTGGCCGCAGTTCGCCTTGCGAATGTTTCACAAGAATGCTGGGTTGTGAACAAAACTTTCGCCCCAGACGGGACTCGCACCTCTTGCTTTACCGGGCAAGTGCGCTACCAGTTACGCTACGGGGCCACAGGGGCTATTTCATTCCAACTCAGCTTTATCTCTCTATCACATAAACGGGTGGGGCAAACGATCTCGTACCCAGTTGCGGGCCAATGGGACTTTATGCTTCGCGATGCTGTTGCCGTCACTTTGATTTTCTGGTCTCTCTTATCGCGCAAAGTTGGGCTACAAGTGGACCTCCTGCTACAAACCTGGAAAGGCAAGTGACAGAGTGTGACCTTAAGGGGATGAAAATCAATAGAATAGTAAGGGCTGTGAGCTTCGATTTGATCTGCGCACAATGGCTGCGATAGCGGCCATGGTGGATAGAGCGCTGCTTGCTCTGACTACAGGTGCCAGGATAGCGTGGAAAAATGGGGGAAGGGGTAGGGGGACAGGAGGTTTATTAACGCGTAGTCCGCGGAACACACAGTCGAGAGTGAGTGTCAGCACAGAACTTTTGCAAGGTGGGCTTAGTCAAAGAAGCACAGGGGAGCCTCACTGTAGAGAAAGTGAGAGTGTAGAGTTATGGAGCTATACAATGTGAGATTTTATTGCTCCACGATAGGCAGTAACTAAGTTTTGAATCGCATCGGTTGATTCAAGGATAAATGCGGGAATATGCAGGGTCAGGGGTATGCAAGCTCGAGGATGCGAACTGGCTGGCTGAGGACGACCTCACATCCGAGCCGTCGAGCTGCTGGATGAACAACCACAAGAAAGGAGGGACAAAGAAGGGATGAATGTAGCGAGAGGACAGGAGGCTGTGGCTTCAAAAAAAGTACAGCAAATTTCAGATGGAAAGGAGGAAGTATTTACATCTCCACTCCTTTTTGGGATAAAACCATGCGTTTTCACTTCCATTCGTAAATTGTAGTGTACTTGCCTGCTAACGTACGCCGGGAGTAGGGATGGGGAGCAGGGTGAATAACGGTCGAGGATTATTCCTCGACCATGGCTCTCTACCGTGCGAGAGTAGTGTCGAGAGTGAATGAATGCGCGGAGAGCACAGACGGCTCGCAGCTGGCGAGAGTGAGCATCCGTGGGAGAGCGTGAAAGAATCCTCGACGAGCCGTTGTCTTTTCCTCAAGCGATTTTCACCCTCGCGGGAAGGGGGGAGGAGACAGATCCATGAACAAAAAGTGTTCATCTAAATAAAAGCTTTTTCAACTTCGACTTGGACTTGGAAGGATGGGAGCTTCTTGGCTTGGGCTGGACTTGATCTGTTGCGCCTAAGGTTTGAAGCGCGGACAGATGTCCATGTCGCAATTTGCCACAAGCCAATCCCCAAGAGATCATGCTATCCATTCACAATCTAGTCGCTAGAGATCTGATCTGCATAATGGAAATGAATGAACTTGCTGCAGAATTATGTACCTCCCCTTCAAAAAGCCAGAAAGTGTGCGGTGCAGACCAAACACCACAACTGACGACGGCCTCCAAGTAAATCTGGTTAGTAGTGGTTCATAGTGATAGCTGATTTTTAGTAAATGATAGTTGTAATTAGTGTCAACTGATCGAATACAACTGTACAGGTTAATCATTTCATTGGCAAAAAACATTTGCATTTTCTGGAGGCCGTCGTCACTTGTGGTGTATGGTCTGCACCCGACACTTTCTGGCTTTTTGAAGAGGAGGGTAGTATATATAGTGCTGTATAGAGTGTGGGAATTGATTTATGAAAAGAAATTTTCAGATTATCTATGTGGCCTGCAGTACGATGCCGGTAAATTTGGCGACAAGGGATCACATACTCCGAGGTGAGCTGAAGGAATACATATAGTCAAAGTTGAGGGCATACCCAGGGATAAAACGTGTTTTTTTTGCACCACAAATACGAACGTACTACAAGTGCAAATGGCCCCCCGTAATTGAAAAAATAGGGAAAAAATGCAGTTGTAAAGCACGTTTAGAGTGAGGCTTGAAAAACGCGCCTACTTTTGGGTACATAGGCCCATTGTTGCACAATACAGTAGTGGCCAGAAATTTATGAACAAACGGTTTTTTCATGATTTCTCTTTTGAAAGTTACTGGAACGTCTCCAAATTTGCAACAATATTAACTACGTGTTTTGTGATCTACACAGAAAATTTCAACCTTCAGCTCAAATTTGGATTTAAAAATTTTAGATTTTTCGAAATTAATGAAGGCAGGTGAAAGATCACTTGATCCGTTTATTTGATTTAAATAATGTATAACCCAACAGAACAGTCAAGTAAACAGTCACTAACATTAAGCAAGTCTACATTGCCCAGAACTCTCTAAAGTATTGGATACATAAACTGGATTTGAATGCGGGGTCAACTAATGAACTCACTCTCTAGTGGGGTCTCTCTCTGTAGTCCCGTATTTTCGTGGCTCTTTCATTGACATACGAATTTGTAGGTCCTCCCCTAGTGGTTCTGTAATGTTTGGCTCAAGAGTCTGGCCTGGCTGGTCTTTTAAAAGCACCCCATGCTGTCGAAACCACTCCTGCATGTGAGAGGCCCGATGCTTTGAGTCGCTGCTCTGCTGACAGACAAAGCCAGGTCGTGTGGCAGCCATGTCTACGGATACATAACATCTTCTAGAATCTAAGTCTATACTACGTATTCCTTAGTTCTCAAAGTCTAAGAAGAGCGCTCGCTGTGAAGTGGGTGGGAGTAGAATGTGATTGACTAAGCCTGAAACGAAGGTTGATACAGGTTTCTAAGGTCATCTGGAATGACAAAAACATATTACTGATGCATGACAGCAAGGATACTAGTAATGTACGGCACCACGAGAGGGAACGTTTTGATCCAAAGAATCAGCTGCCAATTGTGAAACTTGGCGGAGGCTTGATAAGGTTGCCTTGGAAAAAAGTGGGACCACGCTACACGACTGAGGTAGCGATGAAGGCAGACGTTTGCTGTCATGTTTTGGAAGGTGTCATGTATCCGTAGACATGGCTGCCACACGACCTGGCTTTGTCTGTCAGCAGAGCAGCGACTCAAAGCATCGGGCCTCTCACATGCAGGAGTGGTTTCGACAGCATGGGGTGCTTTTAAAAGACCAGCCAGGCCAGACTCTTGAGCCAAACATTACAGAACCACTAGGGGAGGACCTACAAATTCGTATGTCAATGAAAGAGCCACGAAAAGACGGGACTACAGAGAGAGACCCCACTAGAGAGTGAGTTCATTAGTTGACCCCGCATTCAAATCCAGTTTATGTATCCAATACTTTAGAGAGTTCTGGGCAATGTGCTAGACTTGCTTAATGTTAGTGACTGTTTACTTGACTGTTCTGTTGGGTTATACATTATTTAAATCAAATAAACGGATCAAGTGATCTTTCACCTGCCTTCATTAATTTCGAAAAATCTAAAATTTTCTAAACCCAAATTTGAGCTGAAGGTTGAAATTTTCTGTGTGGATCATAAAACACGTAGTTAATAATTGTTGCAAATTTGGAGACGTTCCAGTGACTTTCAAAAGAGAAATCATGAAAAAACCGTTTGTTCATAAATTTCTGGCCACTACTGTATATTCCTACTTTGTATCGTTAATGCAGAGAAACGAAGTTATTAATAATGCAATTTTTTAATAATGTCATTCCACCTATAAAATTTGCAACATCTTCATCATAAGATTTTTAAGCCTTTTCGGATCTTCAAATCTTCTCCACGGACCGTTTTTTCCTGCTGCTTTCTGGCTTAAATATTGTGTGCGCAATAAATTACTCACTTTAAGTCAAAAATTGAACTATTGATCACAAACTAAAAACTAGGAACTTTGAAAATTGACAAGGAATTCCGCTTTCTCACTTTTTAAGCTTCTCTTCCAGCAATTCCAAATTATTAGTATCTGAAAAAGTTTATGATCTACACCACATATATCCACCTTTGGATAAGAATTTGAATTTGTGTCAAGTATAAATTTGGACATTGATTTGAACAGCTTACCTAACGCTTGCCTGAACAAGTGAGAGCTTCCCACGTTTGCCATCCATTCAAGAAGAACACTGGGTAGCAATAGATGTAAATTCGAACGCTGATTTCAAATCTACCCCCATCGCTAAAACGATTGTCTGAACGGGGCTATGGAAAGAAAGTGGGTTGGAACTCAGCTCAAGGTAACGGCATCGGATCGATCCCGCCGTTATTATCTTTTTGGTATTCTTCGGGAATTCAATGCGAATCAGCTATTAAAAGCCGTTTAGGCGTATCCGGCTGAAGATGGAAAAAAGTAACAGCATATGGAACCGATCCTTTTGAGTCTTGATGTGAGTCACCACTACTCGTACACGTGTTTTTGCTTCACACCCTTTCAGGAGAATCGGTTAGCAGATTCGGAGGGTGATGATGGATAAAAAAAATAAAAAAAATAGAGTCTGAGGTACACTTCTACGCGTGCCATCCTCATTCTTAAAGGCCATGGCGACCTGGTAGCCTCTTCTTGTGAGATCAGCGCCGATTCATTGTTGCACTTGTACGCAAATACTTAAAATGCTAACAGCAGTACACAATAAAATGATTGGCTCAATGCATAATTAGGATGGGGACGGTCGTCTAAAATAAGCCTTCACGTAGTGAATATGCTGTTGCACCGGTAATACAGACCTTTGAAATTGATGGTTGCATTTCCACCGCCAGGGCCAAAAATGTTAAAAGATTCTTGTCAGAAACGTTTTGTATATTTAAGTTATTATAGATACCAGACTTGTCTGGGAGGATAAAAACACTGACTTGTACATCGGCTGGCCCCCGCAAGTCATTGTATAGGCCACATCGCATTCAAACGCCACTACGAATGTACAAATGGAAGTAGAATGCGTGCCGCATCCCAAAAAGGGATTGATCAACGGCAAATGCTTTATCCTTTTTTTATTCAGCTGCTTTGTAGCTAAAAGCCTGTATTCTGACTGCAGTCGACTACCCTGAGCCTTTAACCATATAATTTAAGGATGAGAAAGCAAGTCCCATTAGAAACCAAGATAGAGGTTGTCAGTATCGCATGAATGGAAAAAAAGAAAAGCAACCTTCAGAAAAATCAACTCTTTTTTGCTCGTTGATTTGCGACCTAGGCAGATCTGGCAGATCTCAGCACCTCGTCTACGCTAAAGCTGTTTCTGATAGGAAGCTTGAACCACACGGCGAGGAGTGGGGGGGGGGACAGCACAGACAGCGGCACGGGACAGCCATGTTTCGCCAAAAATTAGCACAACAATAATGCGGTACCATCAGAAAACACAGGAATTACTCGTTTCCATTACGTCATTACCCTTAGGGAACACATACGTGCGAGTATTTCCTTTCTTCTATCAACCAGGAATTCCATGGGAAGCATTAACAGACAGACATTGAAGCGGCTTAGGCCTTTGTAAACACGTTTATTGTAATCGCTATTTTTTACGTGTAATACTGCTCAGATAACATTTCATTGTCCGATTAACCGCATTCCATTCTATCGAGTCATAGTGGCCGGAACATTAAACGAATTATGGTGATGTCAATCTGGGCAAGGTTCACACAAAGTCTAGCCAGTTACGGTATGAGATCACTGCCATGACTGCCACAAGTTGCAAGTCCGAGACTGCCGGATTGGCGCATTTTCAACGCTGCCACTGTTTACACAGGGCCAGGGTTCCTTTGCTTTCATCGTCCAAACTAAAACTACAAAAAATTGCTCCATCGTAGGTCGAGGGTTCTACACGAGGAAGGCGCTCAAAGTGCGATAGGGTCACAATT